CTTTGCTTTTTGGAAAGAAAAAGAAGCTGAACTTTTTGATATTTAACCTCATTATAAGCTGCGTGTGCACTAAACTTTAAGTTCAAGTTCAAGTAAACGTGGTACATGAGATTCATTCATTCAACCTGTATTTATACAGGTTAATCTCATTGAGCCTCTGGGTCTCATTTACAAGAGAGACCTGGGATGAAAGGAAATTACTGTCCCGGTTACTCCCAAAAATAGCAAAATATAAAGTATAAAAAGAAACAGTAAATAAGTATCTAAGATATACACTAAGATAAATGCAAAAACAAACACCAAATGGTACGCTAAAAGAATGAAGATATACGCTAATGTAAAACATTATAACATAAGGAGCAGCCCAAACATGAGTCTGTGGCAAATGGGTAACCTCCTGCTTGTGGGGAGCGGTACAAAAAGTGTTTGTGCTGGGTGAGTGGGGTCCTTCATGATGCAGGTGGCCCTCTTCCTTTATCTGGAGGTGTAGATGGCTGTAATGGTGGGGAGGCTGACTCCGACAGTCTTCTGTGCAGCTTCACCACTCTCTGCAGAGCTTTCCTTTCTCCAGCTGTGCAGCCTCCATGCCACACGTTGATGCTGGAGCACAAGACGCTCTCCACTGCACACCTGTAGCAGGAGGTGAGGACTGAGCTTCCCAGACCAGCTCGCCTCAGCTGCCTGAGGAAGTAGAGACGCTGATGAGCTTTCTTGATCAGGCTGGTAGTGTTGTTGTCCCAGCTGAGGTTATCACTCAGGTGCACACACAAGTACTTGTAGCTGGAGACCACTTCCACCGCAGATCCTCCTATGTTCCACGACCATCTCCTTCGTCTTCTTCATATTGATGTGAAGGTTGTTCTTCCTGCTCCAGCTCTCCAGGTGTTCCACCTCCTGCCTGTAGCCGGACTCATTGTTGTTTGTGATGCATCCAACCACCACTGTATTGTCTGCAAACTTTACAATATGACGGACTGAATGGGTAGAAGCACAGTCATGTGAGCAGAGTGAACAGGAGGGGACTCAACACCCAGCCTTGAGGGAAGCCAGTGTTGAGGGTTATGGTGGAGGAGGAGAAGTTGTGGATCCTCACAGACTGCGGCCTTTACCTACACCTTTACCTTAACAGACTGGAAGGTTAACCTGCACATGTTGGAACGGGGAACTAATCTAGTGTTTTAGTGTTTAGGACATGTCACCTGAGGTATTTAACTGCAGCAAAGAGCTTTTATTGAGCTGTGCAGACTTTCCATTTCCATATGCTTGGTTGTAGAAACAGCATACAAGTTGCAAAAATTTATTCTGAAAACTTGTTGAAGGAAAAATATTAATTGCCATGATTGACAAGAAATTATAAGAGAAATGATTTGCCATTAAAGACATATAATTTAGTTGTTTAAATGTTTAGTAATTAGTGAAAATTGCAGTGTATTTGAGTAAACATTTCATGTTAAAATATTAACTCAATGACTTCATTAAACAAATACAAATGTTGAAACTGCACTGCACCCTTTCATTAGACACCTCTCTCTAATTTCCTCTGTTCCCAATTTTTATTTATTTATTTTTGGGCTGCAAATTGACCCCTCCTGATTTAGTAAGAATGATACCAATTTATCATATTTATTGGTATTGGTGGTTTTATGTGCTACTTATTCCACTAATGTTTGAAACGAATTACCGAGGTAGACTGGAAAAGATTAAATCTTTTTGTGGATCACAAATGATGTTTGTATTAATATGTGTAAACTCTGCTTTGTGTTGCGTGCCTTTCAATGTGGGCTTCAGAAACTACCGAGTTGAGTCAATGTTGAACAATTACACATTTCTGTCAGCAAAATTTAAATAAGCTTTTTAAAAGCTATGAATCCACAAATAATATTAATATTGTTTCTTGGCATTTGTTTGTTTCATTACTCTGTAACTTGAGTGTATTCCTTAGATTAGCTCAGTTTCCAGAGTTTAATTTATTGCTTTATTACTGAATTTCTACATTACTGTCAGAAATAAAGTCTGTAGACATGATTCTGGTTGTAGAATTTCAGTAGTCCTTTCACACACACAACCATAATGTGTCTCTAAGTATTTGTGTGTGCTTGTTTGTCTGTCTTTAAAAAAAAGACCAGCAGACAGATTTTTAAGAAAAACCTCAGAAAATAATCTTTGGATGTACACCTGGAAGTGGTGAACTCTTGGAGTCGACCTGATTCAAGATGGCGGCCTCAACTAATCAACTTCAACAGTAATAGCTTTAACTCGTTCAATTTTACAAATATGGAGCTTCAGTTTAGTGTAGCTAAGAGTCATTTGCATCTGATTTAACTGCACAGAGCTCTTAAATGTAAAATTTGTCAGCGTAGTGCTTCTGATTTAGAAGAGCCAGACTATTCTCATGGTGTCTATTCTGTGTCATCAGGATTATCTTTAAATAACCTTCTTAGTGCCACCTGCTGTCATGCTATCCATGGCTTACAGAAGCCATGAGGAGGTTACCGTGAATCTTCAACACCTCACAGCTCAAGTAGAAGTCAGTCCATTGATGGGCTAAAAGCCATTTACTGAACAGATTTTATATTTATTTCAAGAAAAGCACGAGTCTTTAGTGATGATGATGGTGTCAAGATCATCATACAGTAATGTATTAAAATGAACACAGTAAATGAAGACAATAAAGCAAATTTATATTGTGCAAAAGAAAATGTTGGTTTGATCAGATCTGTGTAATAAACAACTTCCCAGATTTACTTTTCCTTTATCAGGATGGATTAATGTCCATAAGAAATTTCTACATCATAATCCAAAATGATGAACTGCCCAAAACATGGAGCTTACGAGCTTTCACAGAATGTGTTTTTATTTAAGGTTCCAATGCAGAAGCAGAAAATCTCCTTATTACTGTTTCATAAAGAAAATTGTCCTGTATCTTGCTGCGCAGCTTTGAAATAAAACATAAAAATAACACATCAGTGGCAGGATCAGAAATATTACAGTATGGTATGTCACACAACAAAGATGAATTTGGCAAAAATGAATGCACAAAAAAAAAACCAAATAAATAAACAGTGGTGATCAATGGATTTTTGGTGAAACGGATATGAAAATCCAGCCATTTTTGGAGTTCTGTAACTCCGACATACTGAATAGTTGCAACAATTCATGGTTTGCACGGGTCACAGAAAGTTGGACTTTACATGCATGAACTGGCACTTTGATATCTTTTACTTTTTTTTTTTTTTTTTACACAATCACAACTTAAGTTGTAGGATTTTGGGAGATTTATCCATGAGATGTTCAACTGACAGCTGATGATGTCACACACTATTTTTTTATATGTAAAAATTAAAACATAGGGATTTATTTTCTTTCACCCAGTGAAAAACTGGAAGTGAAGTGTTTTGTTATTTTATCATGTCTCCTACAAAACATACTGTAGAAACATGAAAATCCACATGTATGACCATCAGCATCTTCTGCCATTCACAGGCCATGAATTTGTAGAATCTGACTTGGAGTTTTCTCACAATGACTGTTTGCATGAGGCTTAAATTCAACTTCTTTCTGTCTGCCTCTCATTAACTTGGCAGTCAGGGAGTGAGAGTCACAGGTGTGTGGTTACCATGGTGACAACAATGAGCCAGTGGCAGCAGCTTTACCGTTTATTTTAATTTAGGCTTTCTTCAAACTTATAAAACAGATCAAACTCTAGTTATTTTTTTAATCTATGTTATATAAATTATGTAGCTTTGAGCTGCATCGGCACCCTTCAACCCTTTCTAGTTGAACTTATCGTTGGCAGTAATGAAAACTTCTGAAGGCAACGGTTTGCTCCGACTAACGTATGAACTCCATCGATTGAACACAAACACAAAACCAACACATTTAAGAATCTCGTCAGATTGTAGCTTAGAGCATTTCATGTATAGTTATTATTATCGCTTCATAAAAGTTCATTTGTCAGAGGACAAACATTAACTGCACTTTAAAATTGCAGATCAGTGACTGATATCACTGACGGCAGTTCTTTGTAAATGTTCAAACTGGAAGCCATTGATAATCAGTACATTTGGTGCACAAATGCACCGAATGAGCTGCATTATTTGTGTGCAAATTAACAAACAACTTTAGTCCAGTATCAAACATTTAGCCGTTTAATTTAATCACTGCCAAATTATTTTAGAAACATCTAGTTTCTGCCTGCTAATTATTGCTATATTTTCTTATTTATTTTATTTTGGGGGTCTGAAATTCCCAGGGGAATCATTAAAAATTCATCATGCAGGTAATCTTAGCTGGATTCGTGTTAGCTGGGGCAAGTGAAATCCTTCAGTAACAGGAATTCAAAAAGGGTAATGTTTCCTCAGGTAAAGATGAGAAATCCAAGCTGCCTGCTCTCTTCTCCCCTTCCGCTCCAACTCCAGTGACAATCTGAAAGAGCAAAAAGGATCCAGTTACAATTCATGCCCAGTTGAAACGTCATATAAACACTGGCCTGACCTTTTAAAAGCTTTTCGTTCATCTCTAACAAAGAGGGAGAAGAATGTGTATTGTCAGCTTTGTTTGCTTTTTTTAGATGATCACATCAGCTTAAACGGTAGTCTTTGTTGAAGTTTAGACTCTTTAGTCTTTTGTATGAATGTTATTTCTCTAAAAACTGACATTTGAGAGTGTATGTACACAAAAAGGTTGTGCGTCGTCACATTTTCTCTCTGCAGGTGCTTTATGTAGCACCATACAGACACTAAAACAACTCCATCAGACCGATTTTAATACAATAGATATGATTTTGTTGGTGTTTTCCCATCATTACAGGACGGTGTCTCACAAATTAAATCTGCATAAATCTGCACATTCTAACACGTTGTCAAATATTTAGCAGGTATTAGTATATTGGATTAAGAAAACAATAATTAATAAGGGATTCAGTGAGGGTTAAAATTCTTGACTGACTGGTTTGGGTCCCCGTCTCTGTCTTCTGTGGACCCCCACTTGTCTCCTTACAGGCTGAGGAGGAGGAGAAGCGTCTGGCGTCAATGCCAGCCTGGAAGAGAGACATGATGAAGAAGAAACTGGATGAGGAGAGGTGAGTAGCAATGTGCTGTTGTCACATTTGTTTAGTAATGTTTACACACTTCAACTCTGAACTTAAATATATCTTGTATATCTTGAAAAATATCCATTAATAAAGATTGTGAAGAACAGTTAGGGAAGAAAAGATTTTTAGTTTTTCGTAAACATGCATCTCTGCTGATGACACATTAAATTACGAGCAGGTAAAATGTGCTCACGTTGTTTCACCAGCAACAAGTTCCACCGGCAGAAAAGACCATTATTTCAATAGATTAAGAGCCCCTCAAATAGACAACATACAGTAGTTTAGTACTTTTCAGCCACTGAAAAGGACTTTTAAATTATACATTTTTCCACCTCAAATGCTCAGCTCAGCTTTATTATGTGCATATATTTGTGCTCTGTCTGTTTAAATGTCTTACCAAACACCTGCTCTGCTAAACTGATCTTGATGAACTGAAAATTATCTGTAGGCCTGAACAGAGGCGTGAACCAGACTCAGAGTCAGAGTCAGCTGTATTGTCATTGCACCGAAGCACAACAAAATCACATTTCAGTACAGCCCATCCGAGTAAAACATAAACAAACAGACATGGGGAGACGGAGGTGTCTGAGGCCGCGGCCTCGTGGGAGGCGCTGCCCTTTTCGTTTAGATAAGTAAAGAGAAACACGAGGGAAGGGGAGGTATAAAAAAATCATATCTCACACTGTGTCCTAGATGGAACACATTGTGAAAGTTGCAAATAAAGCCTCAGCACAGAAATAGCAACATATTAATTACATTATAATATATGCATGAGGAAGGCCGACAAAGGCGGTGAGTTTGTCCATGGACACTGCCAAATAGTCTTCATAGACCTGACAAGATGGTGCAGTGTCTATCAGCCGGCTCAGCTCTGATACAGGTCAGATGTCCTCAGGAAGGGAGTGGGTATGGAGGGGGGGGGGGGGAGGAGCAGAGCTTCTTATTCACATAACATCCAGGAGAGTTTGAGATAGTTGGCCTATTCAAGGTCAACGCAGGACAATTGAGAAAAGACAACATCATTATTATCATGATTCAACATTTCTGTGATAGTAATTAAACTGCTGAACTATCTTGGAATGATGGTTCATAAATGTTGAGATGTTCCAGGATCAAACTGTTATTTAAATGGAACCTTTCTGTAGCATGGAGCAAGTCCTTCAGACAGCTTGTATTTTATTTTATATTCTAGTTTTGGGCTAATTAACGTTTTGATCAAGTTACCATTTTTCCTCTCTTCAGCATCTCTGAAAAATGCCTTGAATTACCAACAACGGGAATGGAAAAATCTGTTTAGACTTCATTATTTTGTCGACTGACTCCAGAATTTGAAAAAAAGAAAGTCATATGTAACTGTGTTTATTTGTTTATTTTATGTTGTTTGTTACACCAAAGATTATATTTAGATTTCTGGCCAGTGCCTGGAAATTGAAGACAGATTGAAACTAACTGTCCCTGACTGTCCCTGTCAGCTGATTCCAGAACAAGTTTTGAGTCCTGCCCCTGCCGTGTTAACCAAGAGGATGCTACCATTGTTTGGAAGAAAAAAACCTCATTAAATATTCCAAATAATTTTTTCAGATGCTGACTCATCAATTTACATAGTACGTTTTTGCTGCTGTATGCTCAAAAATGATTTTAAATATATTTAGTTTTAATTAGTTATTTCAAGCTTAAATGAAAGTTTATGTGACACTACGATTATGTGTGGGGGAGTGGGCGGGGCCTAAAGCCCTACATCACTAGTGCTCAGACTCTGGTTCCAAAAATGCAACATAGAAGCTTCTATCAACTGAGTCCTCCCAACAAAAAAAATAATGTGGGTGTTTGGTCTGTAACATAAACTGTCTTTGTTTTAAAATGTCTCAGTTTTTAATATGAAATCACATCTTTTGATTCTGTCAGATTAGAGTTGAAGCTGAACTGCTGTAACTTACGTGTTGTTGCCGCTTAAGATATTTACTCCTTTTTTCTGTGTTTTTGACCTCCTGATGTGACAGGGAACAAAAAAGGTAAGAAATTATTTTTATTCCACACAGTAATGTTTTCAAAATGATAAAAAGGAATTCACTTTAAAGCTAAAGTTGCAGAAACAAATTGATTCCTCAGATGTTTTTTATTATTATTTTTACAGCAATGAATCAGCCTTGAATCCAGTGGGCAATAAGGGTTCATTGTTTCAACCATTTACATCATTAATGTCATTTCTTCCTTGTTGAGATCCTTGTTATTCCAAAGATGCTGCTTATTTGACAATGTGATCATTTCCCCCACCCAAAAAGCAAAACTTTAGCTGGTTGGAGTTTGAGCTCTGCAGTTAACATCAAACATGTTTTAAAAAAAAAGGAAAAGAATATCACTTTATTTTGCCCAAATATTTGACTATCTGCATTCAGGGGGAGCTCATATTCAGGTGATTTTGATGTGATAATGCAGGAGAATGAAAATCAAACTAGATTACTAACTTACTGTCTGTAATCTTATTAAAACCTGAAGGAAACATTAGTTTCCTGCTAATGGACTCTTCTTTTTGAACAAATGCAGAAAAGCAGATCAGCAGGCCAAACAGGAAAAGCAGAAAGAGGAGAATATGGAGCTGGAGCGACTACGGACCCTGGGCTACGATGAGACCAAACTGGCCCCGTGGCAGAGGCAGATCATTCTGAAGAAAGGGGAAGTAGCCAAAAAGTGAACTGGATCGTTTCCCTGTCCTGCACCGTCTGCATCCTCACACACATAGTCCAATGCATCTTCCTCCTTCCTCCTCTAGTCCATGCTGCTCAACAGGCGATGAAGAAGAGTGTTTCTCCCCTAAACTCTGCAACACGTCTGGTTCAGACTGTTGCTGCTGCTGCACAGGCTCTGAGGCGAACGCATCAGAGTGCTCTTCCACCTTCAGCTTGAAGTTTCAAACACTTTGTCTTTTAGTGAAAAATGTCTGACATGCACTGTCTTACTACCAGAGCATTTGTTCTAAATGTGCTCAGTAGAATATACTTACTTTTCAGGAAATCACAAGAGGACGTTTCATGTAGAACACCAGTCTGATAGTCTTGTGATACAATTAAAAAGGCAACATGTGAGCAAGTAATGGCTCAAAATACACTGGCATGTCATAAATGTCATACTCAGTGAAGGCTTGTTTCATCCTGAACACGTCCTCTGTCAGGCTTTTATCCATCATGGCATTTTTTAAGCATTGATAAACCATTTCTAGAGTAAAGAATGTGATTGTTTTCTGTAGATTTGGATCATTGGTGAATATCCTGTTTGTAAATAATTCAAAAGTTATGCAGATGTATGAAATTTGAATATTTCTCAAGGAAAGAAAAGATGCAAATTCCAGTTTAGTTCCTAAAAATGATGTTTAAATGGTGGCGTGCGAACGTGAATGTGAAATGACGTGCGTGTTGCAAAGTGAGCATTATGGATGATGTAGTGTGTTATTAGACATAATGGAAAATCAGGATTTTAACAGCGAGCTACATCTTACACCAGTCATATCATTACTTAATGCTGCAGAAGACCTCAAGTTTTAGTTTGTTTCCTGTGTCCAGTTCAGTCCTCTGAACTATAAATCTTTGATGAGCAGATCTGTTTACACTTTATAGCTCTCTCAAACAGGCTTATCAAAAATCTCCTGTTTCCTGTCCTTCAGTTTCAACACTAAACACTAAACTATCCCTGGTGAACAATCTAACAATAAAATGACCAAGACATGTTCAATGTACTGTATATTTCTCTGTAGACATTCAGAGAATATTATTATCACCTTTTTTTTCTCCTTCGGGCTTAGAAAAACTCTTAAGTTGTGCATTATTTCTGTGCTTCTTCTTCCTTTTGCAGTTTTTTTTTATGTAAACTTATAGGACTCCCTGCTGGTTGAGGATAGAATTTCGGGGCAAATCTGTGGTGAAGAAATTTAGAGTTAGATTTAAAAAAATGTCAGTACATAAAATGATACATTTTTAGGAATAAGTAATCCCCAAATTTGTGCTTTTTGGGTCCTCTAATGTGATAATTCCTCTTTGTTTCTTCTGCTTTAGTTTTGTATTTTTAAGGTATTAGGGTAAAAAGCTGAGCCTCTGTTAAAAACAACGGGACTCAATCATTTCAAATTATTCAGATTCTACGTCTCATCCGATGCCATATTATGTTAAAATTCTAAGTGATGTAAATGTCATTGCCATTTAATTTTCTATAAATATATGATCTGAACTCTGTACATAGTGACCCTCAGATTTTTGTCATTTTCATTATTTCCACGTGCTTATTAAATATGTCCTGACCTGGCTTTCATAGAATGTTGGCTTAATCTCATAAACTCATATTTTCTGACTGCTGAAATGAACACAATAAATACCTGATCATCAAAATGAAAGTTGTTGTGTGGATGCATTTTGTTTGTTTATTTTTTCTTTAGCCTCAAGTAAACACAACACTAATGTGAATTTAATGTGAAATATTGTTTTGTAATTTGTCACGTCATGAGAATTGACCTATATTTTTTTATTTAAACATGAAGATTTCTAATACTTTTGGTGCAAATTCAATATTCACACTGGAGTTTATATATTAAGGTTAGAAAGTTTCACAGTGATATCACATTATTCAATTGGAGACATTTAACAGCCAGATTTTGGTGCAAGGTAAACAAAAAATTAAAACGTGAGAAAAAAAACATCTGATTTCCTTTATTTTAAATTTAAGTGAAAAAGACAATAATTCTGATGAAATGTTCAATCTTTTTGAGTCTGATCACCAAAGCAGAAAAGTAGTAAACATTAAATAGCACCTATTGATTCACACCTTGGACCTGCTCAGTAATCTGTAAACGTGATAAAAGTATGTTTAACTTTATGCACAGGTAATTTCCCAAATCACCTCATTTTTTAATGTATCTGAGATTCATCTGTTATGGATTAGTTGACAGAGAATGAATCAAGTTGGTGCGAACCAAGCTTGAGTTAAAGACAGAGAAAAAGTTTTATAAAGTTTTTTTTTTAATGGTGTTATGAAAACAAATTAAGTACTAATGTGTGTGTGTGTATATGTATATATTATTTATTTATTTATATTTATATATGTATTCATTCTTGTTAAACGGACCAAACAAGCGGGAAATCAAAGCATTTGATGTGACGTGTAATACTTCAAATTGACCACCAGGGGGAAACAAGAGCCATTTTTTCAGTCAGGTGAGACCGTAAACAAACTAATATTTAAAACAACATTCTTAAAGAAGTTAAAGAATGGAAAAAGCTTTTCGATTCATCCAGTTGCGCAGAGCTAAAACTCTACTTGATGTTCTTAAGACAGTTATTGAAAACGTGTCGAGTTGAACAAAGCGTTGAACGTTTAATGGTCCTATAAAAATTTTGGGAACAGCCTTTAAGCATGAACATGGGTGTAATTATCTGTGCGAAGTTGCTTTTTGTGTGTGTGTGTGTGTGGGGGGGGGGGGGGCTCAAACGATCGCTGATAGATGATTGATTGGCGCTCGCGCTCACCTGTACTGACGTAGGCAGAAGACGGAGACGGAGGAGGTCGCGGCGGAGGAATACATTCGCCGCCGCTGCAGTTGTCCGCCCGACTGACCGCAGCTCAGCTGAGCCGCCGCCGCGGACTGACCCAGAGGAGCTGGACCGACACTGTTTGAAGCTCACCTCTCTCAGGTAAAGATTCCGTGTTTTAAACTCGCAGTTTCGAACCGTGGGAATAAATGTGAGGCAGACATTTTTCTCCCAGACTTCTGGCGACAAAGACACTGTAAACATATTACGCCGACTGAACTTTAAAAAAATACAAACAATCTTATTGTTTGTTTACTTTAATGGTTAGTGCAGTAACCTCTCCAAAGCTAATTCTGTTTGCTTTGTTGTCATTTTAAAACCACAACACGTGTAGAGTTCATATTCATGAGGATTTATGAGAAACAGTTTGTTGTAGTTTGTGGCGCACAGGAGCAGATCTCTGTTATTTGTGGGCAATGCAGTGTAGGAGTTATGGTGAGTCATGGATGTCCCTTGATATGAGCAAGTACACTGCTGACATAACTGGCTTTATTATGCTGGAAGCTTGTATACTGGGAGACTGGTTCCACTGGGAGGGGATGTGATAACCCCACTGCCGAGTCTCTGGAGGTATTTAAGAAATATGTTTTCCCATGTCCCAGTTCAAGAAACCTATTTCCTGCCAGTAGCTTGACCCCAATATGCTTGCAACAACTATACTTGCATTTCTCTTATCCATTTCTCCCCCCTCATTGTTTTAGGTGTTGAACTCAGGAGACGGTGCCTGCATCACAACAGAGGGACACCATGTCCAACAGTGAATCGGACATCTGCACAGACAACCAGGTCCCTCTGTTTGACTCTCGCTTCTCCACAGAACTCCGTATATATGAGTCGGGTGATGAAGGCTGCCCGTCAGAAAGCCCTCCCTCTCTCCAATCCACAACGTCCCCCCCTGCAGAAAACACAGTGGACAGGATTGGGGTGCCTCATCACGTGGTCCTGAGCACCAAGAGTCCCGCAGCTCTGAAGGTTGGCACCCACCAGCTGATTCCCAAGAACTTAGCAGTGGCCAGCCGACCGAGAAACCGACACCACACCACTGTGGTGACGTTCCCAGTGGGGCTAGAGAAGTCCAGCAATGAGAACCGCAGCCATCACTCAGCCCACGGGCCAGATGTGTCGTGGGAGGATTACGACAGCGATGGAGACGGCCTTGCTTTTAGGAGGAACCGCAGAAACAAGTCGTACAGAGCGGCGGTGACCAGCCTGGACGTCGAAGCTATGGCGGCAGGACACAAGGCCGCTACGACTCTGAAGCCTGTTGACGAAAACAGAGCAAGCAGTCCTGGTCCAGCTCGCAGTCCTGGACGCAAGGTACGATGAGGGGTGGTGGGTGACTGATGGAGATCAGAGGCACATGTTATCCAGCTGTGAAGTGAATTGTTTTGAGCGTTTTTGTCTTTCAGTATGCTTCAGTCAGCTGCAGCACGACGGCTCAGTGGTTAGCACTGTTGCCTCACAGCAAGAAAGTCCTGGGTTCAATCCCCGTTTTGACCTGGGGTCTTTCTGTGTAGAGTTTGCACGTTCTTCTTGTGCTTGCGTGGTTTTCTGCTTCACTGTCCTCCCACAGACCAAAAACATGCATGTTAGGCTGCTCCAGGCCCAGGCCTCCCTTGCAAAAGAGATCTGTGATCTCAATGGGATTTGCCTGGTTTAATAAAGGTTAATAAATAAAGTGATTACGATAAGACTAAGCAAACCCTGCAGATTTACTTTTCTTATCAATCACAAGCAGAGTAGCCAGTAATGCTCCTGATGTTGAATTTTTCTTCAGTCACAGCAGTGACAAACTTCCACAACAGTTTCCAGCCTTCCAGAATAAAATGAAAGAAATTCTCGTAGGAATTTTGATCCAAATAGACAAACGCTGCCTAAAGAACACGATGCAGCGCTGATGTGTGACTGAACTCCACCAGAATAAACTCAAGCTGTGCTGCTGTGCCCTTTCTAGCGAACACTTGGGAGGAAGAGGAACCAACGTGGATCATTCAAGGATGGTATGTGTCATTCTGTCTGCTTTGCTAAATTTGCCTACATGACTACAACTACTTCAGAAGACCTACAAAGTTTTTTTTTGTTCGTCTTAAAAATTAGACTTCAATGAAATTGATTGTAGAATATGCGAGGAAAACAAGATGGATTTGATGTGCGGTGGAAAAATGTAATTTCTTATAAAAGAGCTCGAGGCAGCGGAGTGGACTAAACAGGATCATCTGAAGGTTCCCTGAATGACAAACAGCTGTTGATGTTGGTGGACATCTTGTTGTGTATTTTCAGATTCCTCCACTTCCTTATTTGTAAGGATTTTTTTTTTGTGGTTGTTTTTAGGTTGACTTGGGAAGTGCTGACCGCAAAAATTACCTTTCATCTGTTAAAATCAAACTGAAGGAGCTGCTTAATAGTCACGCACACAATTCTCTGATTAACTATGTCTGAAGTTTCTTTAATTCTGAAATTTGCACATTTATAAACGTATTTACCAGAACTTACATTTGACTTACTGTCAGATTATAAACCAGTTATAGTTTTTTGACTCATCCTAAAAAACGAGTTGTTGAAAAATTCTTACACAGACCTTTTTTTCTTTTGTGAGATACTATAGATTTTTTGTCTAAATAATAATTATGTGACATAAATATATGACAAGAAAACATTTTTTTTGTTTAAATCAAAGCACATCTTCAGACAGTCTTGATTTAAAAATGTAATGTTTGTTCCCAGCGACGCCGTTACTCTACCAGGAGATCCGTGAGCGTGGGCTTCACTCCACCAACCAGGACGAATCACTGGATGACTTTGTGGTGGTGGAGGCTCCCGTGGAAGACCAGAGCATCGTGGTGAAGAACTACAAGCAAGCACAGCTCACCTGGAGCCAGCTGCCACAGGTAAACTCCCAAACGTGATGAACAAATCAAATTCAAGTGCTTGAATTCATCAGGCGGCAGTCATAACTAACGTCATAGCCAGGAAAATACTGTGTAAATCTATTTAAAGCATCATTTCTTGTATAACGATGCATTAAATGAAGATTAATCAAACATTGATATGTCTTGCTACGTTACTTTGGTTAAAAATGGAGTATGTGAAACTTTAATATAATGTAAAGCTTCTAAGTGAGTGTTTACAAAAGTCAGAATACTGAAACAGTCATTTGCTCTCAAATGTTCAGAAACATGTTGAGATTTATCTCTTGGTTTATTTGAAGGTGAAAGACTCGGGTATTCTGGAAAAAATCACACCTCAGGAGAGAAAGAGACAAGAGGTGGGTGCATGCTTGCATTTTTTTTTTAATTACCGTATTTTTCGTACTATAAGGCGCACCGGATTATAAGGCGCATTAAGCGAAACGAAACAGTCAAATAAGTCAAACTTTATTCAACTCAGCACAATAATCACATACAATTGGTTCCAGGTCAGTAAGCACAACCAGAATTAATACATAAGGCGCACTGAATTATAAGGCTCACTGTCGATTTGTGTGGAAATTAAAAAGATTTTAAGTGCACCTTATAGTCCGAAAAATACTGTACGGCTTAATCTGGCTTTATTAGAAGGGTCGGTACAGTTTTTGTGTATCTACATGTGCACAAATGTTCATTTGGGTCATCTGGGGTAAATTTCATCATCACTCTATAAATGCGAGTATAGAAACTCCTTACTTTTGCTGTTGCTGTCATTTTTTTCTGCATTGTGCAAGCATGAAACATGCTAACATAGTGGACCGAAGCAGCTTAGGTTGTAAAGTAAATACATTTAAATCAGACTAAACCAATTAAAACCTGTTTTTAATTGATTGAAACAAATAATTGTCCCATTCATGCAGCAGATGGAATGTGTGCTTTTTTCTTTTATTTTAGCAGCTCTAGTAAAATGATTGGGCCCTTCTTCTGTCCTTACATCTCTAAATTTGCACCCAGAAAAGTAGTGTTTTATGAGAACTGATGGCTCAGTATTTTTTGTCATAAATTGTATTAAACGTTAGACGTGTAATACAGATTTTAGTTGAATTGGATCAGAAAAGTCAATGTCAACTTGACAAACTTAAAAAAATTAAAGTTTTCCAGTCCAGACATACAGGATTCATATTTGCAAATGAACAATGAATGCCTTTATTATTTGTTAGTTGTGTTTATAAGGAGATTTGTTACCTTACGTCTGCTGTTATTCTCTGCTTTTTGAGTTTAAACTCGTTCTTAGACGGCTTGTTAAGAGTAAACCAAGAAAAGTCTGAAGTGAAACTGAAAATGTTGGTGTACAAACCTGGTGTGTGTTACAGGTTCAGACTGTCAGCTCAGTGCCACACTATCTGTGGGTGGATTTTCCTTTGTAGACGCTCCTCAGCAGTCTAAGATGTCAAAAGTTGTATCAATACCAAAGGTCCTCACAGTGTGCTGTACAATGGCTGAACGAAGCCCCACCCTGCCTGTGTAATCATTCTCCTGCAGACTGAGCAGGTGCTTGTTTTGCTCTTTCAGTCTCTGCGTAGTTTTAGTTTTAGTGCTGCTCAACCATTTTACCTACTTGTTGCAGCGCCCTTGTAGCAATGAAGCATTTTACTGAAGATCTGGGCTGTGATCCTGACAGGATTTATGTGTTGTTTAGTTCATTTTGTGCCCTTTGGCCCCCTTACAGCCACCTCACCTATAAATGGAGATGTTGATAAAGGTGTGTTATGACCACATGATTTCTCTCACGTAGACTAACATGTCTTGCAGCCACCCACTGTGTAATATTCTATGCGGTTAGCTACTGAATGCTAATCTGTTGTTGCATTAAACCTTCATTTGCAGAAAATTAGCAAACGGTTCTTTGCTTGAAGTCACAAGAAATTCTGGAGAATGTAAAGAAACTAGAGGAATTGTGAGTGGGTTAAGGAAGGAGTTTTTCTTTTTAAGTTTGAGCATGTGTGATTATTTCACAGGCCATTTTTGAGATCATCACCTCAGAGCACTCATACTTGCACAGCCTCGGCATCCTGGTGCGTCACTTCCAAAGCAATGAAGCGCTGAGGAAAACGATGACGGCCACGGAACATCACCACCTTTTCTCCAACATTTCTGTCATCCACAACGTCAGCCAACGGTCAGATCAGTACTCTTTTATTATACTGTTAGTTTTTTTTTTGTGTAAAATCATGTTCAAATGTATTATCTCGATTCAGAAAAAAGTTGGGACGTTGTGTAAAATGTAACTAAAAACAGAAATGATTTGTAAATTTCTATAATTTATTTACAAAGTACAATGAAACATAATAAACAAGCCAAGTGTTTAAACTAAGATATTGTACTATTTTTAGATGAGGTAAGTTTGCTTTTTATGGCAGCAACACATCTAACAAAAGCTGGGGCAGCAAAAGACGGTCCAAGTAAGCAGCCAGTATGTATAATAAACCACTTATTATACAGGCTATTTGGCTAGTTAAAGTTCTGTTACACAAAAATACTATATTTGAACTAGGGATGCACAATATTATCAGCATGGTATCAGCCAATATTAGCGATAAAGTTAAATATCAGACCTCAGCCATTCCATGAAAATAAAGATATAAAAGGTGCACATA